CCTGCCTGCGCTACTGTCTCCACAGCAACGCGCCTGTGTTACCTTGTCTCCACAGCCACACGCCTGTGATGCTTTGTCTCCATAGCAACAAAGTAACCTGTCTTACTTTGTCTCCATGGCAACACGCCTGCATTACTTTGTTTCCATAGCAACACGCCTGCGTTACTCTGTCTCCATAGCAATGCGCCTGGGTTACTCTGTCTCCGATAGCAACAAAGTATCCTGCAGTTACTTTGTTTCCATGGCAACGCGCCTGAGTTACTTTGTCTCCATAGGAATGTGCCTGGGTTACTTTGTCTCCATAGCAACAAAGTATCCTGCAGTTACTTTGTTTCCATGGCAACGCGCCTGAGTTACTTTGTCTCCATAGGAATGTGCCTGGGTTACTTTGTCTCCATGGCAACACGCCTGCGTTACTTTGTTTCCATGGCAACGCGCCTGCGTTAGTTTGTCTCCGTTAGCAACAAAGTAGCCTGCAGTTACTTTGTTTCCATGGCAACGCGCCTGGGTTACTTTGTCTCCGTTAGCAACAAAGTAGCCTGCAGTTACTTTGTTTCCATGGCAACACGCCTGCGTTACTTTGTCTCCACAGCAACAAAGCAACAAAGTAGCCTGCAGTTACTTTGTTTCCATGGCAACGCGCCTGGGTTACTTTGTCTCCGTTAGCAACAAAGTAGCCTGCAGTTACTTTGTTTCCATGGCAACACGCCTGCGTTACTTTGTCTCCACAGCAACAAAGCAACCTGCCATACTTTGTCTCCATGGCAACACGCCTGCGTTACTTTGTTTCCACGGCAATGCGCCTGGGTTACTTTGTCTCCGTTAGCAACAAAGTAGCCTGCAGCTACTTTGTTTCCATGGCAACACGCCTGCGTTACTTTGTCTCCACAGCAACAATGTAACCTGCCTCACTTTGTCTCCATGGCAACACGCCTGCGTTACATTGTTTCCATAGCAACACGCCTGTGTTACTCTGTCTCCGTTAGCAACAAAGCAGCCTGCTGTTACTTTGTTTCCATGGCGACACACCTGAGTTACTTTGTCTCCACAGCAACAAAGTAACCTGTGTTACTTTGTTTCCATAGCAACGCGCCTGCGGTACTCTGTTTCCATGGCAACCTACCAAGCTTTATTTCCAGCTGACGGGATGGCGCCATCGAGGCACAGAACGAAGACTTTTTTTGTTCAGAGTCGCAGAAACCGGTCAAGACCAGAACCAGCGGCCTCGAGCCCAGACTGGCGGCCTCCGCGCCCCAGCGCTCGCCCGACCCGGGACACCGGGCCTCCCGCCTCGGCCTCCCTCCCGGGTAGAGGCTGGGACGACAGGCACACGCCACCACGCCCGGCTCATTTTTTCTATATATATTTTTAGTCGGCCAATTAATTTCTTTCTATTTTTAGCAGAGACGGGGTCTCGCTCTTGCTCGGGCCGGCCTCGACCTCCCGGCCTCCATCAAGCGATCCTCCCTCCTCGGCCTCCCAGAGTGCCGGGACAACAGGCGTGAGCCACCGCGCCCGGCTCATTTTTTTCTATATATTTTTAGTTGTCCAGCTCATTTCTTTCTATTTATAGTAGAGACGGGGTCTCGCTCTTGCTCAGGCTGGCCTCCAACTCCTGACCTCCAGCGATCCTCCCTCCTCGGCCTCCCTCCCGAGTAGCTGGGACTACAGTTTTTTCTCTCTATATATATTAGTTGTCCGGCTCATTTCTTTCTATATTTATAGTAGAGACGGGGTCTCGCTCTTGCTCAGAGGCCGGCCTCCAACTCCCGACCTCCAGCGAGCCTCCCTCCTCGGCCTCCCAGAGCGCCGGGACGACAGGCGTGGGCCTGCTGCCTTGCACGAGCCACACGGTGTGTTGCCGTGTGCAACACACAACCCGAAAACAGGACGGGGGAAGCGTCTCCTGCTCATTTCTCCCCAGGAAAGACACCCCAGGGCCTCATTTTTCAGGGGACCCTGTCATTTATTTTGTTGCTTTGTCTCCATAGCAACGCCACGCCTGCGTTACTTTGTTTCCATGGCAACGCGCCTGCGTTACTTTGTCTCCGTTAGCAACAAAGTAGCCTGCAGTTACTTTGTTTCCATGGCGACACGCCTGAGTTACTTTGTCTCCACAGCAACAAAGCAACCTGCCATACTTTGTCTCCATGGCAACACGCCTGCGTTACTTTGTTTCCACGGCAACGCGCCTGGGCTACTTTGTCTCCATTAGCAACAATGTAACCTGCCTCACTTTGTCTCCATGGCAACACGCCTGCATTACATTGTTTCCATAGCAACGCGCCTGTGTTACCCTGTCTCCGTTAGCAACAAAGTAACCTGCGTTACTTTGTTTCCATGACAATGCGCCTGTGTTACTCTGTCTCCGATAGCAACAAAGTAACCTGTGTTACTTTGTTTCCACAGCAACGCGCCTGCGTTAGCCTGTCTCCGTCGGTAACAAAGCGACCTGCGGTACTCTGTCTCCATGGCAACGTGCCTGCGGTACTCTGTTTCCATGGCAACCTACCAAGCTTTATTTCCAGCTGACGGATGGCGCCATCGAGGCACATAACGAAGACGTTTTTTTTTTCAGAGTCGCAGAAACCGGTCAAGACCGGAACCACCGGCCTCGAGCCCAGACTGGCGGCCTCCCGCCCCGGCCTCCCTCCCGGGTAGAGGCTGGGACTCCAGGCACGCGCCTCCACGCCCGGCTCGATTTTTCTGTATATATTTTTACTTCCCCAATTAATTTCTTTCTATTTTTAGTAGAGACGGGGTCTCCCTCTTGCTCGGGCTGGCCTCGAACTCCTGACCTCCAGCGATCCTCCTGCCTCGGCCTCCCTCCCGAGTAGCTGGGACTACAGTTTTTTCTCTCTATATATATTAGTTGTCCAGCTCATTTCTTTCTATATTTATAGTAGAGACGGGGTCTCGCTCTTGCTCAGAGGCCGGCCTCCAACTCCCGACCTCCAGCGATCCTCCCTCCTCGGCCTCCCAGAGCGCCGGGACGACAGGCGTGGGCCTGCTGTCTTGCACGAGCCACGCGGTGTGTTGCCGTGTGCAACACACAACCCGAAAACAGGACGGGGGAAGCGTCTCCTGCTCATTTCTCCCCAGGAAAGACACCCCAGGGCCTCATTTTTCAGGGGACCCTGTCATTTATTTTAATTTTTTTATT